TTTACTGTTAAATTACCTTCAAAATTAATCGAAGTGTTAATTTTTGATTTAGACTGATGGAAACAACCAAAACAGTGTCAAAGTGCCATTTCAACTGCCACCAGGAACTACTAATGAGGGACAGTTTGCTTTTGATGTAGATAAAGTGGTTATGCCACAGATGTTAAGAGGTACATTCACCTACATGATTGTGGTAAGTGAAGTATTGAAACACTACTTTTTATCACTTGCTAATTCTTTTCTAAAATTAATTAGGCAACTTTCCAAATTTACAGTATGCATGACAAAAAAAACCATTCCAGATGACTTTTATATTAATGGCTTACAAAATATGATCTAAACTATTGAGAGAAATTTGCTGTTGTTTCTTTTTTTACATCGTAATAAACCCTTTGTATCATTCATTTTCAAGAATTATACATAGTGTATGTATGAGTAGATTTTTTTAAATTTGAGTGATCTATTTCTTTGATTCTACTAATTACAGTTACTTTTATAAGATACCTTTAATCTTTCATGTAGTTTCAATTTTTTTCTTGTTGTTTTTTAGACTGATGGGGGATCAACCCATGAAAAACTTGATTTTAAGCTGCATCTTCCAGTTTCAGCTTATTTTATTGGGTCCATGTATAAAAGGTGAGGAAAAACAAAACTGGATTTGACAAAATGCCCCATACTTACATTGTTTTATCTGCTCCAGAACAAAAATATGTTTTTCAAGAGGTTGACTTGTATGTTTTATCCAACCAAAGAAAAAGGATAGTCTGAAAATGGTGTATTGTCTTTAACCTTAGCATCTCTTGAGAATGGCTTTAGTTAGGTTTGAACAGACAAGTTATTATTCAGTATATAGTTTTTGTATCATACTGGTAACTTATGACAGTTATGTGATTCAATATATCATGTCAAGTTACAGATTTTTACATATAAATAACATGCAGTGTAACTAAAGTTAAAATTTTGCTGGCTTTAGGAAACAGAAGTTAAAAGCAAATACTTGAAATTAATAGCATAACATGCATGTCTGAATTTAAATAATTTCTAAAACCTTATGTGTAGTGTTTTGAACTATACAAACACACACACACACACACACAGTTGATTGCTGTTAAATCAAGGTTTATACAAAATATCATACTCTGTAGTGACTGGACTTCAGATAGGCCAGATATAAAAGTAAACAGATGTTGACTCAGTTGATAAATATATGGTACATGAATATTGGTGTAGAACATTAATGTTACTATTTGCATGTAAAGTTACACATAAATTAACTCTGAATATTTCTCTTTCTCACTGTGAAACTTTAGTGAAAAAAAAAGAAAGAATCCATGAATGATGTAGAGGCTTAATATCAAACCTTTACTAAATATAACAACGTAGCCTATCTGTACACAAATAACAGGTCCTACTAATGTGCGTGTGTGTGTGTAATCCTTTAGATTTCTTCAACCAGTAAACGCATCTTTCACTGGAAACAAGATTCCCAACAATTGTTATAGTAGTAATAAATTTGGCTCGTTAAAAAGTAATTAAAAAGTTCTTCTCTGAAAAATTTTCTAATATATGAAACATTGTACTACCTAAAAATGTATATCCTTTTTTAGATATCAGAGCCACGAAGAAACGTTTTTAGATTTTAAGATGTTACCATTTCTTAGAAGATACTTAAATAATAACTCTATCATAACTTACGATTGCAAAAGGGTGTCACTTTTACTGTTCTTTTAGATACACATTTTTGTTTATTAACTTATGTATAACCATTTTATTTTTCAATTTTAGGGATACATTCACTGAGTTACTAAGTAGTGGTGATCTTTCAGCAAAAAATACCTTAATTCTAGAAAGAGTAGATTACGAGTTTTCCCACATGCTCTCCAAAATCTGCTTCCATTGTCATTTTACAGGTAATTTTGACTTCTTTATTACTAGTTACTTTGCTTCTACTTTCCAGTTTGAATTATTTGAATCCAATAATTTCACAATTTATCATTATATTAATTAGTTCATGATGAATAATGTTTTTAGCGCATGTCATCGAATGCAAAACAGTAATCACATTTTAATTCTATGTGCACAAGTGGGAGGTTAAAGTGTACACGTCATAATCTTTTACGGTTACACTTAAAATTTCATTAAACTACTTTATTATCGATATATATCAAAGTTGGCATTAAAACATAGTTTATAAATCAAGTTTTGATATAAGTTTTCATAATTTCTTCCATCTCTGTATCATATCATATACTTGTTTGCTCTGAATTGCCCATTTTACCCATATATGATTTCCTGAGTTTAACATAAATTATACATTTATAATAAAGATATCACTTAATTAAGACTTAATTAATTTTATAGCCCCAAATCTATTTCCTTTTTAGAAATGTAAACTAGAAAGTCAAAACTACTTGCCACATTCTTCTTCCAAATAAATATCAACAATTATAAAAAATAAATTCTCGTGATAGGTTTTAAGTTAATCGTCCAAAAGATTCATTGTTGCCATCATTGAGGTCACCTTGACCAGGTAAGGTGGTTACTCCACTTACAGCATAGTTTGAAAGTCAGTTAAATTATGATAGTCATGACATTTTTTGTGCATTAATATTTTGTGTTCTTAACTGTATATTTGAAAGAAATAAGTAACTTATGTACTAATATCATCTTTACAAAAAAAATTGGTTTATGGTTTGTCTGGGTCCGAGAGCAAAAACAAGATGCCAATTTCTTGTTTTTTTTTAATGTATGTTTTTTTATTTATTGCTATAAAAGTAACTAAAATGTACAAATTATATACTTGTTAGGTTAAATAAGAAATCCTAAATGAAAAACAATTTTCAGCAAGGTATGCAGTGAGTTCCTTGTGTGTTATGTAATTCAATGCTTTGTTTACTGTCTCTTGAGCTATGTGCTAGACAAAGCTGTAAATGCTGGTTTAGTAGTTAGACGCAGTTCAAAAACCATTAAAATCAAAACAGATGTAAACTGTTACAAGTCTAAGTCTGTATAGGATAAATAATTGTAATTTTATGTTTCCATCTGCAGTCATTCTAGAAATAAAAAAAAAGAGAGAGATAATTTACATTTATTTTATATTTTTTGTGGTGGTTATAAGATCAGTCAAATGGACCACTCCCACATAGTGTTAGGGTAGAGAAAATAATGGATAAAATACAGTTTTATTGGGAAAAAAAAACTTCTGATATTTACTTGATATTCTAGAGATTGTGCAAATGAAATTTGGAAACTACAGGTAAAGTTCAAAGAGTTGAATGACTTGTATATACTAATGCAGTTGTGTGTCACCCCAGTATGAGCCACAGAATCTCAGGTGAAATTTTTAGTGTCTGCGTATTTGGTTCATCGTAAATGATAGTATAATACCACCAAGAATAAACATAGTAAGTGGAAGAATATACCCTTCCTGATGAAATTTTTAAATGAAGTAGCGACAAAGGACACAGCATTTGGAACGGAACTTTCATTAATCTTCTTGGAAGTAGAAAAACTTGCACAGTCGAGCATTTGGGACAATAGCTGGCCTCCAAAGCCACACCCCAAGTTAATCTGTAGCAATATGTTGTGCAAAAGTGAAGGCTCCAATTACAAAAAAAAAGAACCCTCCAACCTAAAAATACATTGTGATGAAACTGGTACATTTTCTGGTACTGTTAACAAAATAATAAAATTGACAGAGGTCCACAGGCTTCTAGTTACATCTTGAAATCAGTGGTTGTTTTCATGCAAAAGATTGCATAAGAGACTGGAATACTAACAATTCCATTTAACCCATACCTGTGAAGTCTCCTGATTTAGCTCCGGTGAATTGTTATGTCGTGGTATGTTTAAATGTGGTATTGGAAACTAACATCCACATACAGTAGAAGGATTTTATAGAGTTTAAGATTTGTTGTCTGTGATTGGCTAGCCATTTATTCTCGGAAGCTTCTTACAATGAAAACTGTAAGCAATAATGTAGGAAGTAGTTTGAGTAACAGCATGGAAGATTTCTTATAAAGTAATTAATCCTCACTGTACTACACTTTATTCCAAAGTTAGGGTGCAGACGAATCTTCTGCCTTCCCTCTATCAGAAGTTCAAAATTAGGGACAGCAGCCAATAGCCTTAGTAGCTTTGCCATAAATACAATATTCCAAAGTTTGTCCTTCATAACTAACACCACGAGCAGCTATTCAGTAGAACAATATTTTAATGAATGGTTTGCTTATAGTTTTTTTTTTCCAGATCTTGATCATGAAGTTAATTGTGCCACTGTGGTTTTGAGGAAACTTTGAAACAGTAATGTGTGTAGTTTATTTCACTGCATTAATGTACAAAGTCAGTTGTTGTACCACCTCATTCTAGTCGTATGTCCTTGGAATTTAAAATGCATGTCATCATGGTATCTGAAACATTTATTTTATGAGTATATTTTGTGCAGAAATATAATAAAGTCATGGCTTTGTTTCACTAATATAAAAGTAAAGGCTATCAAAAAGTGAAATAAAAACCTGACTTGTTCTGAGCTCATTTTTGAATCAAGCCTGACACAGAACTGGTTAAATAATAATAAGCACCTCTTTGGATACTACTCAAGACATTCGAAGTATTTATTATTTAAATGTATTCTTGGAAATAAACGTGCAACCAGATTCTAATTATTTCTAGAACAAGTAAAATTTTGCACGTAGACTGTCGCCTTGCATTTGTGTATTCTTGATGTAGTAGTAGAACAAAATACAATACCTAAGGGAATTAACTCTGGTACCTTCCATGTTTCAAAAAATATGTATCCAAGTTAATTTGGGCACACTATTTCTTGTCGTATTTTTAATTATTTACCCAAAACTATTTGCATATACTATCATGTATTACAATCAGTACTTGGTAGATGGCATTGGAAATGCTGTTTGTGGTGATCTCTATTGGATTTATTCTGAATTATGCATCATAAACACTAGAGAAAAGTATTCCTATTCTTTAATGTAGTTTCACTGAAATATGTCATGTATCAATCCAGATAATCTTGGGCAAAATCACAGAAGGGGTTAAAGCTTAAACATAATCAGTTTTTTGGTTATACATACTTGTATTAAAGTGTAATTTTAAGTGGCATGGTAGTATTTGGTATTATATAAAAATTAACTAATTATCAAAGAAAATTTTGACATGACTTGCTTTTAATTGAAGTTGTGAAAAAAAGCTTGGATTTAGTGTCTGGTAAATGATCAGCTTCAAAATACTGGATAATGGCTGGTAATATTTAGTTGCAATTATTTTGATAACAATAACCTAGAATTAACTAGATAAATTTATTTTTAGAGCCTAAATGAATATTTTGTTTCATTTATATATATAATACATTATTGTTTTTTCTGTAAATAACTGTTTACACCAAATTTTATATTCAGTTGTAGAACAGGTTGCATTGAGTGCCTCTTTATACAGTCGATCAATTCAAGGAGATCACGTTTGCTTATTAGCCAAGCAAGTGGTAAGTAAATGGAGTTTTTTGGAAAAATTATACGAAACAGCATTTAAGATGTGTATAAACTACAATTTTGATATTATAAGCACTCCACCTCAGGAAGTTTATCAGTGCATGCTAAAGAATATGCCAGAAATAAACTGTATGGAATGAAATTAGATAAAATAATGTTTACTTGAAAGACTATATTAAAATGTTAAGAAAATAAAAGTACTAGTGTGTTAGAAAACCTTACATTCTCTTTACACTGACTTGTAGAAAAATTCAAATTATTGGCTCTTATCTAACATTTCAAATGGTTTCTTTAACTTAAGTGTACAAATATGAATATAAGTAAAAGTGTCAAATTTTCCATCAAGATTATTCCAACTATTTAAACTGGGACTGTTAAATAATTTATTTCCAGATCAGCTTTTATGGTGTTGCCATTCTAATTGACACCTGATTTCTTTGTAGTAATTTTGGTTATATGGTACCACCTGTACTCCAGAGAATTTTAGGTTAGGAAAGTTTCTCATGATAAAGATTCTACAATTAAAGGGTTGCTATTTTTTAACTAAAACTTACATACACAACTGGAGAAGCCACACCAGCACTGAAACTTTACTGTTGAATTTTTTTTCAGAATTCCAAGTTAACAATAGATGGCAAGAGCACCAACAGTCAACTTCTATCCAGCATCTTAGACGAAGTGAAAATTTTGCTTAATCCCACTGAGAATGTTTCTCCCTGTGAATGAAGCAACCTGAGGTTTTATATGTAATACAAAACTTGTAACAAATTACAAGAGAACAAAGACAACAGAATCAAAGACATCTGTTTTAAGTGTGCTTTTCATTTGTTGCCTAAGCAAAACAAGTTGATCATTAGACACTGTTGAAATACTGGTACCCTTCCCTAGCTTCCCAGTGCCCAAGTTTTAAAATAGTAACTAACAGTATGGTGTTTCTATAATTTATCACTGAAGTAGTCAATTGTTTTATTAAATAAGAATGTTTGTTGAGCACTTTAGATAAAAGTGTCATTTAAAACACTTTCTAATGTCTTGAAAAAAAGAGTATGTACAAAAATGTGATTCATAATTACTAAATACAAGTTCTGCTTCAATTATGATATATTATAAAGTGTGTGTAAATCTCCATGTTTTGCTTCAGTCCCTGCACATTGTAAAATTCTTCAAAGGTTTTATCATTTCCAGCAGTTACATTCCAAAATTTATTAGAGTCTTTGCTAATTCAAAGTTGTAATTTCAGTGTCATCAAGTTTTCAAAAACTATGAAACTAGCCATAGTGGAATTGGTAATTGTAATATAGCTTTGTGTAATTGGTCTGTAATCATTTAATACCATCATAAAAAAATAAAATCTCATACACTTATTTCACATTATCAGTACTGGCTATTATTAGTACTTAGTGATTCAACCTATCCTCCTCCTAGGAAAGATGAGCTGTTTTGTTTGTTTGTTGTTTTTTTTTCAAAGAATAACATTTTCTTTATGTAACTAGTTATTTCACAAAAATTGAAAATATAATTAGTTAAGAATGCTTAACTTACAGCTTTTGTAGTTAATGTGTTTTAAAAATTAAAGGTGGTATATTGATTACATTAAATAAGACACTGAAATGACAGTTGGGTAGATATATATATATATATATATATCAGAGTAATTATTCTTGTTTATAAAATGTAAATATAATCTGAAATAAAACAGCCTTGTGTATCAAAATGTTTTATTTTAAATTACAAATCTACAAATACAGTATGTTTAAGACAAATTTAATTGCACAAAAAAAGGTCAAATACACATAATGAGACACTTGGGTAAAAAAAATTACAAGAAACAAGATTTTATATCTGTCATTATTACATTACCTAAATAACTGAGATACCATTAAAATTTGAGGATTATTATTATACATTTTTTTGTGTCTGTCAGTGTATTTACAAAAAAAAAAGTTTGTAAAGTTCTCCCAGTGGTGAATGTATTTTAGGTTTAAGAGATAAAATGGGAATGTTAAAATTTATAGAACTTTACTATAAGTATATAGATACTTAAAATGAAAGTAACTGGTACAACTGGAGTCTCCAAAAATGTGTTCTGTGAAAAAAAAAAACTATTAATTTATAATGTCAGGCCACATATTCTACATATGTTTTCCTGAATGATTCAGGAATGTTGTACAATGCTACCACAACAACTGTTTTTCACTATTTTACTAAAGGCCTCGTTTTGCTGTCGTCTTCACATGCATGCTGCTTGTATTTCTTCACTTCAGCCAAATAACGAGACCATGCATCTGTGGGCTTTTCCTCCTGAAATAAAAATTAGCTAAAGGATGAGAGACTGTGTTTTAGTCTAATATGAGAGTTTCTAACCAGAATATTATTGGCCTTCTTATGTTGTACAATATATATACGTGTGTGTGTATACAAATAATACTGTTCTATTAGTTTGATCAAATTAACCAACATGTTCATTATAAAATGCAATGCCAGATGTGAAAGTAAATTCTATTTCTTTAATCACAAAAAACACATTTCCATATTAGTTAGTATATTCTGACCCATTACAACCAGCATGTCAAGTTCCTGTATTCCACCCAACTGAGACTCAAATGTTCACAATTAATATTACTCCTTTTTCAACTGTTTTGATAAATATGGTTGCATCTGAACCATCAAGTTTTGGTGGTTAATTTAATATTTATAAAACAAAAATAGTTCATTTTAAACATTCTAAATTCCTTTTTAACTTCCATACTTTACAACATGATAGTTTAGAAATAATAAGTACGTATTTCCAAAATACATACATACACAAAACATTTAAATAATGTATTTTGGTACCAAGACATTATACTAAAATCACATGAACTGCATGTGACATATAGTATATTTAAGAATCTTTCAGTTGAAGAGCTTTGTTATATGCACTTTTTAAAAATTAATATTCCTGCTTATTCCAACTGAATACTACAGGTTTTTATACTTCCTTCAAAAACATCTTAACAAGTAGGTACAATTGACATTTTTATTTGCTTCACTCTCGTTGATGCAATAAAGGCTTACAGGATAATGAAAATAATTTTTATATGGATGCAAGAAAAAATATTTTATAGCTGTTAACTTTAAAAATTACCATAATCACAAAACTCTTACCTCTATTACATTACATAAAGTAGCTAACCAACTACATACTTCATTTGAACAGTGTCATTTTCAAAATTAATTTAGTGTACTATTTAAAACCTTACCTCTTTCTCAGGTTCAACTTTCAGTTTCTTGACCATGCCAGTCTTAAGGACTTTTCCACCCCGTCTCTTACTCACCTGGAGAGAAACAAGTACTTACACCATTACACATCAATCATATTAATCAGTAGACGAGGTGCACACCAAGGGCAGGGTGCTGTAGTTATCTACACGTAGAGCTTCCATGTCAAACTCTTCTCCTAAGAGTAAAAGTACCTTCACATAATAGTACATATATTCATGGATACTAAAAAGCTGTTTATGCCAAATTGAAAAATAATTAACAATACTGTTTCATTATATAACATTTTATTTAAGCACAGTAAAAAGAGACACTTTCCTTTTGTTAAAACTAATTTTAGTTCTTTTAGTGCAGAAATGCACTGAAACTTCTTTTTTTTTTTTGTGGTGTTGGGGGGGAGGTAATTTCAGCTCTAAAATAAGTTTAATGTACAAACTATACACAAGTTTTTAAAAGTGCATTGTGTATATTTGCATCCTACATGTATGAAGTGATTCACATTAAGTATTTTTCTGTTAAAGTATGAAATGTTTCCATAAATCTCCTAAGTATCTGCTCAACACACACTGATATGGTTTCTGTCTTTCTGAAGTTATGAATCTAGTCTTGTCGGAAGGCTTCTGATAACTTACCACCCAAGGGATTAATAAAAAAACTTGAAATTTTAAGACACTGATAACAAAAGTTAAAAAGAGAGTATAAAACTGACAATGATCATTCTACTCTTTGGAGGAATGCCATCAGTGGGATTCTATTAAGTGTTATATTTTTCTGAATACTTGTCAAAGGACTTTAAAAAATCTAAATTCATGATACTGTATGGGATGTTTCTTTAATTTAGTGTGAGCTGAACAGTTATGGATTTCTTGTAAGTATTTGTTGGTATACAAGTTTTCTACCTTATTTTAATATGGTATTTTTTTTAGTTTGTTAGTTATTCTAGCTATGTGTAGTTTTCACATAACACCTGACCATAGAAGGTCTGACTGTAACACTGCACATTGTGAAAAGATACTGACAGACTCCAACATTAGGTTAGGTGATGCCTTGTGGCTAGAACCTCCCTTAATTTTGAATGAGAATAGCCAGTCACATTAGGAGCACTAGTCACTCTGGGTAAGTATGATGATAACTTTGAATTATGAAATGGAAAATTTAAACAGTCTAGTGGATGACAGAATTTACCTCTAGTTGAGTAAAGGTGACTGACTGTTGCCAAACAAGCAAGAACACATACTGTTAGTGTACATAATAGATTATTTGTTTGTCTTAATTTATATCCAGTCTCCATTTCGTTCTCTTGAACCAAGTTATTAAAAAAAAATTCAGAACTATTCTGTGATAAATATTTTGATCAATCTCTTGTTATTCAGTGGACCTATCCCATCACTTAATGAAAAATCAGTAATACCTGAAAATATGATACAGTTGATAGACGGGAAGAATATTTTTATGCCATGACCAAAGGGTACATCATTGCAGAGTTTTCTGTTTTCCTGCATATGTTTGTATTTCCCTTTACTCCCACTGTTGTGGATATGGCATTTTCTACAACTCAAAGAACTTATGATCAAGAGGAAGAGTTGGTCAATAGAGGGAAACAATTGTTTGATGAGAAGTCCCTTCTTGGAATTTTGCTAATACTGTGGTGGCCATAGCTTCCACCCCCTTGCAGCCGATGTATCGTGTACCAAGAACAGCTGTTCATGCTCTTCCCTTGATAATCAACTTCTGTGCAAAGGAAGCATGGACAACTGAGGGTTACTGATAACAGTGTGGTATCTATAGAGTCCAAGACCAAATGAGGCAGTTTATATACAACTTTCAGAACTTCATCAGCCAGAGTAACTTAACTCCACCTCTGGTTAAAGCCATCCAAAAATGATCAAGAGAGACCAGAGGTGCCATTGATGGATGATATCTGCCAATAGGAGCTATCTCACTGGCAGTGAGACAGAAGGGACTGAACAGTAAAGACAGTGTACCATAGGACACTAGCAATCCTTTCTTAGCCAGAAGAGTGGCCACGGATAGGAGCCTGTGGTCACACAGAGCCAACAGAAACTCAATGCTCAGCTGCCTTGGACTAGGGATTGACTACTCAAACAAGAGTCCAAGTTCCCTAACATGCCCACAACACTGTGCTCCTGATGACAATGATGTATCAGTCAGGTGATGGCCAAGAAATTGTAAGGGAAAGTTATGACCATGACCAAGGGTCTGTGCGAGTGAAGCAAAGCATATCATACTCCTGACAGTCAAAAACACAATTTAAGAAGGTTTAGACCATTTCCTGAAATGTTTCAGACACGTAACTGCTTGGAAAGGCTGGTCTCCAGATCAGGCTGTACAATAGCTGACCTTGAGTGTTAGAAAGCCTGGCCCTAAACTATATTAAACCTATGGTAAGGGGTCAAAGGGCATGTCAAAACGTTTGTAGACTTACATTCAAAATTCTATTGAACTCCAAATTAATGAATGTATGCCAATAAGTTTAGTATAAAATTGTGAATAATAATTCAAATTTTAGTATTATACATTAGTTAATTTCTTATTTAAAAGTAAATATTTTAAAAAAACCTAAATATCAATTTTTGTGTGTCACATGGTATGTTAAATGCAGCTTTGTTTGATGTTCAAATACAAAGTCTAGTTTCTTATGAATTAGAAACTCAAATTACTGATATCAACAAGTTAGAATATAAAATAAGAACCTCCTATCTTTTCTATTTGCTGAGATATCACTATATTTAACAAATTAAACAATGTGGTCCCACCCACCTCTTCCATTTTTGGAAATACTTGCCTATGTACACCTGCTTTGTTCTCTCATGTGTTTATAACCAATCAAAAGCTCAGAATTTCCCCCACATGGTTTTCTCAGCCTCTTGAAGGTGGGAATTTCCCAAGATTATTTCTTTTGTCTCCTATCTCGGAAGGAAGGGGTAACTGAAAACATTGTTCGGAAAACTATTTTTTTTAGACCCAAGTACAGTTTAGTTACTAAGCTTGATAAATTACAGTGGAATTTTGCAATATTGGTAGAGTAATTTATAATTTTTTGTATTTCAAAATGAATATATAAAACCTAAAAATGTTATTTTGTTTTATATCCTCCACATGCAAAATTTGGCAAGTCTTAGCATGCCAGGTACAGCAAGCTTCTTTACAATCATAAGTAGTAGACATCATTTTCTGTTTACTGTTCTATGTTTTAAGAAAAATAATATATATATATATATATATATATACATATTTAATGTGACTATTTTACAAAATACTGGTCCACTAGAACAAAGCCAAGACAAGTCACTTTGTAAAGACCAATTTTATACTACTGGATACGTTAAAATGAGTGCATGTGCTTCACATCATTGTGACTTCTGTAATGTTAGTCAGACATAACTGAAAGGTCAATAAAATAAAAATAATAAACACACATATATATATATATATATATATATATAGTATGTATGTATAATGGTATGAGATTTAAGCTATTTAGCCTAAACACTTGTATTTGTGTTACAATTTGTAGTCATTTTTTATGGTGGTTACGAAGTTGGTCAAATCGACCAAATCCGTATAGAGATAAAATAGTGAAAATAACATATAAAGTTTTTTTTAAAAAAACTTGATAATTATCTGGAGCTTATAGAGATTTCACATGTGAAATCTGACAACTGTTTGATGCATAAAATCAAAATTACATTGCATGTTGGTAGTCACTATTCCAAAAGAAAAAATGCATGTCATCATTTCTCAAAAAATCTTAAAACTTAATAAAAGAAATCTGATATTTTGTGTATGAAAACCTTGTAATGTTTACTGATAATCTGCAAAATTCTGTGAAGATATATATATACTGTATCAAAAATTATAGTGTGAAAACTATAACAAGTACAAAATAGTAATGAGGTTGGTCCCTGGAACCGAGCCCTTAGTGAGAAAGTTAAAGCACTAGAGTGAAGCTCAACTTTAGCACTGCAACAGTTATTTTCAAGTTGTGCCATACATTTGACTGGTGGAAAACTGAGCAATCCATCAAGCTGAGTTATAGGGGTACCACAAAGGGATTGGTCACTTATATGGACAGTCTACACAGTTTGAACGGTAAGGCTTACCCTGCAATGTTTTCAGTGGATTAGGAAGATTACTTACTGACAAGTTTGTGGAAGGGCTAACCAATGAAGATGATAGGCCCTTTAAATCTTATCATTACAGGCTGCAATGGAAGAAGTGCCCAATATATATTAATGACATCCCATGTTTGGTCACACATTTGAGTCTGTGGCCAAGAATCTGAAATTTATATATATTTATTATATTGATCTTTCAGTCGTGCCTGGCTATCAGTACAAAAGTTAAAATGATGCACAGCACACGTGCACTCATGATACCATATCCAATAATATGAATATAGATTATTGCTATTTACAAATAATTTCTTAAACTTATTTTTCTTAAAACAAAGAACAGTAAATAAAGAAGTAAAGCAAACAATTATCTCTTCTAGTTACGACCTTTGTACTTGGTTGCTGCTTGACATAGGTTGCTAAGCCTTTGAAAATTTTGCACATGGATAATCTAGTTACGACCTTTGTACTCGGGTTGCTGCTTGACATAGGTTGCTAAGCCTTTAAAAATTTTGCACGTGGAGAATATGCAATGAAAATGTTTTGGGGGTTTTATATATAAATTTGAATAACTAAAAAATTGTAAATCACTACATCAATACCATAGAATTCCACTATAATTTATCAAGTTTAGTAACTAAGCTGTATTTCAGTCTAAAAAAATATGAAATTTCAAGCAGACTAAAGACACAACCTACTCCTTGAAATCTTAGTTTGAAAGAAAGGAATGGCATCCAAACACGTTAAAATGGCTAGGGGGGTCATTCTGAGGTTTCAATTGGTTATTCATATATATATAGGTGTATATAAAGGAGCATTTCCAAAAATGGAAAGAGGTGGGCAGGGTGCCACTGTGTTTCATTTATTACATGAGCAATATCTTCGCAAATAGAAAAGATAAGACGTTCTTATTTTATATT